CCACAGAAGCGGCCAATAGATCGTGACAATGTGTTTTTTCCGTCGTGAATCTACAAGTTGTGTAATGTTACGTCTATTTTTGAAATATTTTCCAGAATTTACTTGTAGCCAATCGTATCTACACGCAGGAGATTCTTCCACACTGAAGCTTAAAAATGTAACGTTCAATACCTTAGTTACATTAGTTTCAATAGTCCACGCGCAACTTAACGCATGCCCATATGTCTGGAATTGAACTGAAGGGAAAGCTAACGTACCGTTTTCCGAAGTTAGTTGACCACCACAAGCTTTAAATGCAAAACGTAAATTTTGATAAAAGTAATACAGAGGAGGGAGGTGTGTAAGAAATTAAAAATTTACCTTGCCTCTCCGTTTCGCATCTAAATCCAGTGTAAGATGACGGACAAACACATCTGTATGAAATACCAAGAATTGACGTACAAGTACCACCATTTTGACAAGGATTTGTGGCACATAAATCTCTAAATGAATCACAGTTTCTTCCTGTAAAATTTCTGTAAAGAGCTATACCGACGGCAAGTATGATTTTCACTTACCGGTATACCTGCTGTAACATTCACATACGTAATCACTGGTCCCGTTAAGTCTACACATTCCATGTCTGCAAGGATTTGGGTAGCAGGGGCCTTGGTCGGGTAGTAAAGAGCGCACGCATCCGTTGGGACCGATACCATTACCAGCGTAACCAGCTGGACAAACACACTCGACGAAGGTTGAACTAATTCCTACAGTACTAAAATCAAAAGAAGAAAGCAAAATTTTCCTACATACTTGGGTTATTTCGACAAGTGGCCAAACTATGGCAGCCCCCGTTGTTAACACTGCATACTCCTTGATAGGAGCAGATGACACCGTCGCCCGTATATCCCGCAGGACAATTCCCACAACTTCTGGAACCCTGAAGAATATTTTTGTGTGTTATGATATTAGAAGACATGTGAATCTTACAAGAGTATTGATGCACTGTACCATCGGATTTGTACTACATCCACCATTTGAAGTTGCACATTCGTCAAGATCGGTACAGTAGTATCCATTTCCGGTGTAACCTGAAAATCTATGTTAAAATTTTGTTTCCACTTATGATTCGATTTTACCTTGAGGACAGTTTCCACAGTGGAATGTTCCAGGTAAATTTATACAGGGTACCGGTGGGTTCACTGAACATGGAGGTTTATTCATTGTGCACTCGTTGGCGTCCGTGTTACAAGCGGGAGTTTTACCATCGGTTGTCCAACCCTACAACCTATGTACAGAATCCAAACCGCAAGAACAACACGATAATTTACTTGGTCACAAATGCACTTATAACCAACATCATTGTACTGAGTTACACAAGTTCCATGTCCACAGAGTTCTGCATTAGATCCTGATTTACATTCATTTGACCGTCTGGTACAGTGAATACCGAACCATCCGTGGGGGCACATACACCTAACAGCATTAGTTTGAGTAATTCAAATTAAAGAGAATAGAAACAGTTATTTACTCGTAAGTTCCTGGACGATTTATGCAAGTGGCTCCATTTTGGCAACCTAAATCAGTACCAGCAAATCTAGCACACTCATTGACATCTTTATCACAAAGCGGCCCTTCCCATTCGTTTGGACACTGACATAAGTAATCGTTAAATAAATCTTGGCAAGTTGCTCCATTTTTACAAGGATTACTAGAACACTCATCCGTTGTCAGTAGAAGAGTTAAAAGGCGTATCGACTTTTGCAAGTTGTTTACTTTTCTATTTAATCTCCTAACACTTCGCACTACGGACTATAATTAAAATTTAATTGCTATGATTGAAAATGAAATTTGGGAAGTATACTTACACCGGAGTTAACTGGAACCTGCGGAAACTGGTTAGAAGTGGATGTCACGTTTGGACCCCATTGTATTGTCTTTATTTTTGCCAGGATGCCGTCATCGAGGAGCTGTTCGAATTCAGAAATTTTTGCAAGTGATCTTTGTGAGCTTGCTTCATATTTTTTTATGGATTCTAAGACTGAATTAGACTAAAATGAAATATGTTTTAAAATGAACGCTGGCGCTGTCATTGGATTTAAATTACGAGCTTGGATGTTTTCAATAGGTCTACGCCGTTTACATGAATTCCACCTCTTCCTACAGTTTGAAAACTGATGTTTTTATGTTCTGCTGCATAAAATATCAAATGTCCATTTTGAGCAACTATCCTTGGTCTAAAACACGATGTGATTAATTAATATTGTGAGTAAGACAGAATATGTAAGTAGAATATTGTTTATTAATAAGTATTGTAATCGGGTCCATCGGCAGACTCCCTAATTTTATGTTTTCTCGACTTTCATAGCCACTATACTACGAAGAAATAGGTCTTCCATTTTCATCTGTCTGTCGGTCTATCTGTCTGCCGTCTCTCCTGATTTCATTAGACAGATTATTTCCGAAACTACCGGATCGATTGTTGTCAAATTTTATATGTATATTAGTATGTATATTAGGAATATCATGTGGATGATAAACATTAATCAAAATTGGGCCAGTCATCTTACCACCAACGGGATGACGTCATTTCGAAAATTTACAACAGTATTTTTTATTTTATAAAAGAAGATACTCCTGCACTTTTGGTGTATGCATCCGCGTCAAGTTTTCACCTTAGACATCCAGATTTTTGAAAAAAAATCAAATTCGTACAACAAAATTTTGCAATTTAACTGTGAAACTGCAAAACCGAAAGCTCAAGATTCTTCTCTCTTTTGCAAAAGTTTTAAGGTTATCGTGATCATGGTAAATTGTTAATCAAAATTTATTCGTTTATCCCCTCCCAAAAAATTTATAACGTCATCTCAAAATTTTATCTGAAATGCGAAAATATTATGACTCTGTACTTGTGGTTTATCAGTGCGCCCACAGTTTTTAAAATTACTTATACAGGGTAGCTCAAAAAAATTAATGAATGAGTCACTTTATTTCATGGATTAAGGAACTGTAGAACAGGATGCTTTGAAATCTTTTTGAGACCTTTTAAAGTTATCGTCAGCATGGTCAATTTTTAATCAAGGTATATATTTTCATCCCCCGCCCCAGAAAAAATTGACAACATCATCTCAAAGGTTTGCCCAATAAATCTTATTCAAAATGTGGAAAATATAAAGAGTCTATACTTGGGACTTATAATTGCGTTTTTTAGAATTGCTTACACAGGGTGACTAAAAAAAAATTTTGAATGAATAAATCAAGAACTGCAGAACTGACTGCTTTGAAATTTTGCAAATGTTAACATTATCGTAATTATGATAAATCGTTAATCAAAATTCGTCCACAAAAGTTCATGATGTCTCAAACTTTTGTTGAATAAATCTTATCTGAATTATGCAAAATATTATCACTCTATACTTGTGATTTATCATTGCATTCATACATTTGCTTATGCAGGTGGTTGAAAAAAATTAATGAATGAATCAATTTATTTTATTATCAAATCAAAAACGGCTCACTCTTTTTCCCGAAATTTTGGGAATACAATACTGTTACTATTAGTAATATACTGCACCAATCCAAGTTAATATACGTGTCCTTGCAAAGATCTTGATGACGTCATCGCAAAATTTTGTAAAGTAAAAATTCATTTGAAACGTACGCGTAGCATGCTTATTAAATTATCAACTTGAATGATTACTGTTTGAAATTATCGATCACCGTTAGTTACGGTTTGAGATTTATTACAAAATTTGTCGTATATGTGGTCGTCAGTAATTCTAAAAATAATTTTATATTTCAATGTAAACAGATCATTTTCAAATGTCTACTCGATAGTAATAAGTGGCGGTACTTATACTTGCATTTATGCTTTATTGTATGTATTACGCTCTTGTATATTTGGCCTCTATGGACATGTCTGTTGGTTACTTAAGCCTATTGCTATTGTTGTTAAATTCGACCAGTTATTTTGTAAAATTTTGTATACTTATATATACAACAGTTTAAACAACAATAAATATACTTTTATTTTATATGCGCTGAAAAATCAATTTGAACTGCCGACAACAAAGATAGGATATATTGATTGATATATTGAAATTTTTCTTTGTTTTGAATTTCGCTAATTTATTTTCATAAATTAAAAAGTTTAAAAAAGAGGTAAACCGTTAGCTGAAATATCCTGGATTCTATTATTGTAACATTCATTGTATCACGAAAAATCCAAATTTTGTACGAAATAAAATAATTCTTTTTGTATTTAAGACATTTCTAAAATTTTAAATACTTCTCGTGGGAAATACATTTATATATTCATTTCCTGAAAACTGTCGAAAAGTGAAGACTCTGAATTTTATCGAGACTCAAAATTTATGAGGTGAACAAAAATGATCTTCATCAGAATTATGCAAACGAAAATATTGTTATATATAATCCAATATAGATAGAATTGTTTTAATTTTTTTTTTAATTTATACAAACTATTTCGTATAATTTATTTCATTTAAACCCACGTTATATTTTGTTTCCTTATTATTTGATCTTGTGTGCCTCAGAAAAATTCAAATTGTACTTACTGCGCTCCATAAGAATTAGTTGTGTATATAATATTTGCCAACATATAAAATAATAAAATATAAATAAAAGTCATTTTTAAAACCTATTTCTACTTTTCACTTAACACATCTCAGAGTAAACGATTGAACTGAACTGTGGACAGTGGTAATGGGCGGCAGAGATCTAGCAATGTCAAGGGGCGTTATATATCAAATAGTTGCACCAAAAGATTGAATTACATCAATGCACGCGTTAATGTGATATATAGAATTGGTACAAGGAGGTGTCATTTGTGTCAAATATCGGAATTGTAATATAATAGTTTAAGTTTGTTTTATTCAAAGTCTACTGAACTTTTAAGAGTGACTCTGCCTATAAAAAAAAATATCTGAATAAATTTCAACTTACTGAATTGGCATTTATAAGAGTACGTATAAAACATTTTATGTATAAACACTGTGGATATAAAAAACTGAGTAAAATATCATTGCAAAAAAATTATGCTAACATTTTGATTGGCTAATCTAGCTGACAAAGTAGGGCCACGCTTCTTTTAATCCAATGTGCAGGAGTAATGGTAGTTTTCGGTAAAACTGGAAGCACATAATTTGTAGAATGACCCGTTGTAGACAAAACGCCTCTTCTTTCTGAAGTCTTATAAACCGGACACTTGTATCTGCCTCTCTCTTTATAGTCGACGTCTTTAATAGGTTTGATCCAAATTAGAGGCATGTTGTCATGTAAAATTTTTGGCAATAATTCGACAATTTGCTGTGTACTTCTTTCCCATCTAGCACCATCCATGAACAATCCATAAATGTAGGCACCATCTGGAGGTGCTTGATTTTCCCTATCTTTCTTCATAACTGCAAAATCGAAAGTGAGTTGGTCAATAGGAATGGTGTATTTTCGAGCATAGTTTTGCTTAACACCAGTCAAAAACGCTTGGGTAAAGTAAAACCCAGATACCCAGTAATCATTTGGTTTCCCATTCTGGTACCACGTATCCAAAAACACGATTCTTTCTAAAAAATCCGCTACGTAATTGGGTAAGTTTTTTAAACTGGGGTACGAAGCACCGGCCCAGTTTTTCGGGATTCGAGCTACTAGAAGAGACGCAGAAAAGGATTCTAAAGCTGGGGTCATTGAGATTAGGCCCTGGATGGCTTTCTGCATATTAATTAAAGAGGTTCGGATCACACCAAGGAGTTTGTTGAAACGTTCCATTTCTTGTACCAAAACGGTATTCATTGATTCGGAATACTGAACAGGGTAACGTTGCATTGCTACTTCTTGATCAAAAGGTGGAGGCAATTTGGACAAAATATCGGAACACAATGTCATTATGTACTTGTCGGTTTCACCGGTCATGCCTGATTGACCCTCACCATAGGCCATTAAGGCTGAATTCAGTAATCTGTGAGAGTTCTGCAAATCACGAGTTATTCCTGCGTTTGTATTGAGACCTAACACTTGAGGAGGATGAATCACAGGGAGGTTCTGTATATGATTTATGAAATCTGGATAGTCGATTTTTGTTGGGAGATCATAGCATTCTGCAGCGTCGCTGAAGAGATAGTTACTTGCACTGACTATATTCGGATTGAGAAAGTCTTCTAAGATGGTCGTGATCAAGCGACGATCCCAGTCATCCGTTACTCGACCTCCGTAGTTACATTCACCGATTAGATAAGAGAGGGCTTCATATGGATCGTCGCTCTCGTTGATAAACATTCGTAGTTGCTGAACCGATATATCAAAATCGGAATCGTTAAACCCGTATGGTATATTCCACCCTAGTGGTCCAAAAGTACGTCTCTCTTGTACAACGGCGTGGAAGAATGCGATGCCATATAACAGCTTCACAAACATTTCTTGATTTCCTGGGCATCCGTTAAAGAATTCTTGGTTTTTGACAGGATCGTTGAGGTACGATTTCAGAAGGTTATCTTTAAGACCACTTGGAGGCTCATTGGTAATTTTAACTCCCTTCTGCAATATAGACACTGGAAATTTATCGGAAGGGTAACTCGTTAACCACAGTCGAAAATTATCGTCTGTATTTGTGTAATCCATATCTTCGAAGATTTTCTCAAGACTTGGCATCCATGACGTTGCAAGGTGACAATTCTGCAGGCACACCCAAAGCCCTTCGTTTTGACCTTGTTGAATTAGGGCAGCAGCACGTGGACCTTGTCCTTGTCCTAAAGAAATCGACTGAAATTGTTCGACATATTTCTTTTCTTCGGCAAATTTTACCAAAGCAGCCATAGGATCGGTACCAGGTGATAGGATAAAGATCAACGGACATAAATTATACGATTCGTTATACGAAACGGAAATGTTAAACTGGGGTGGCGTTATATATTTTACACCCATTTCTTTAGCGATGTAATTGGTGGCTCCCACCAACAACTTGTCGGGACGAAGAATACGCAGCACAGTCAATTTTCCAAAGGTATTGAGACTATCTTGCCAGGGTGGTGGCAATTTTTCGTTTTCCGGTTGGTAGCTGTCGTAGATTTTCTTCCAGTCGTGCGATCGTTGAACAAACGAATCCTTAAAATTTTGAAAAGCTGGTAGGTCGCTTACTCGGCATATTTGATCCCATGACAGCTTTGGTAACCATTCTATTGGATTTTTTAGGGTATTCTCAACATTTATCGCTCCTGTCATTAAGAACATAAACTCTTTTTCGTCCAAAGTCTTCATAAAGATTAAAATTTCTTGTCTCTCGTCTATTTGGTATATACCTTATTAGGTACTTCGCCCGAGTTGAGGAGGCAGTCGATGTCCTGCAAGAACGATTCCTCTTTAATTTGCCCTTCAGTAATCAAAAACACACAATGCCGTCCTCTGCCTCCCGCTTCCTTGAGTATTTTCTTAATATCATCCCTCCACTCGTTTAAACCGTAGTTGTTTGTAATTTCTGGCTGGAATAAGGCTTGACCATAAATTTCGCTAGCTAGTCTAGTTAGAGACTGTCTTCCAGAACCGCTGATACCAACTAGGAGAGCGCTTCCGCAAGCCATCGACAAAACACGACAAAGCTTCGACAGATGTTCCAAAGCGTAATCGAAAAGTACCACATCCATTTTGGTTTTATGAGAAGCGTTGTAGTCATCCAGACAAGTTTGGCACAACGCAGCGAAGGCACCTATGTTCGCTGTTTCCTCATATCGCCTTTCGTCGTCGTCTGAATCTTGATCAAAATAAGTCCCAAACATGAGCCTCTTCAACGAATCCAAAGTTAAATTATTTTCAGAATCTTTTGGCAAATAATCAAAGACATTCTTTGAAGCTATCACGAACTACAAGTTTGATTTTTGAAAACAACCATGCTTTGTCGGCATTTTCAATTAGTCTATCGTAGAAAATTCGCAAGACTTCGTGAACCCAAATCTTTGCAAAGACAACTCTCTCTTCCGCACACTCTTTTCGCAACATGGCACAACCTTGAATCAGACGAGAAAAGTCACGCAGATTGAAAACATAATGACTTTTCGACGGAGTAGGCCGTAAATTTTCTGTAGCAGATTTGAAAATTTCTAAACTTGCGTTCACTGTTTGTACAGCCATGTTGATAATATCGCTAGGGAAACCGTTATTTTTCCAACCCAAATGTAAAATGTTTATATAGATTTTCGCCATGGTTTCCTCGGAAAACTCATTTATGGAAAAAATACTGAAGTGCCTGAGGAATCGCGGATAAATTTCTTGTCTGCTACCGCCCACGAGACCCATAGCTGCCAGAAAGATTACTCGGTGTAAGAAAACCGGTGCTGTGGTTTTAAGATCGTACCAATTTTTGTGGTCGAAGTACTGGCGCAGGAGTTCGATAGGTGGTTGCGCCCCGTAAGTTTCTTTATAAGGCATGTTGATATCGTCTATAAAAAGAACAGCAGTTTTGCCTTTTGGTGCTTCGTAATGATATCTCCGTAGTTTGTTCAATTTTGAAATAATCAAATTTTGGGTCTGATTAGCTGTGATTTTTACTGTGAACGTGATGAATGAAGGCAAGTACATTTCTTTATCCAGTTGGTTCATGAGGAGATCTTGAATGTAGAAGCTCTTTCCAGTACCAGTTGGTCCTACTAGTAACACGGGTGCGTTATTTTTAATGTGCATTTCTACCAAAGCCATATATCTCCCCGTATCAACGGTGGGAATTAAAGCTTGTAAGATATTCTTGCATTCATCTACCCTTTCGTTTCTCACAACTTCTGGCCAGTACTTCCAGGTGCCCTTCATTCTATAATTGTATGCGTAATCATAGAGCAAGCCTTCAATCGGGATGCTGATTTCAAGCTTCTCTAGAGATGCTGGATAAGGATTATCTTCTAGTTGACCTCGCCACAGTTGTTTGTAGAACGTATCAAACTTCACCTTTGATTCTGTATCTAGAACACATCCCAACCCCCATATTCCTGCTTGAAGAAATGCCGCTTGCATCCATATCAGTAAATTTTTCTCTTTTTCGTCCGCTTTGATAACCTCCTCACAAGCTTTATTCAGTGTCATTTCAACCAGTTGCATCATATTTTTTACTAGATTTATCATTCCGATATTACAGTACTGAATGCAGTATTTTCTAAGGAAGTGCAAACACGGCGGTATAATCCAATAGAAAAGGTCTTTGGTGAGGATTCTGTATTCATCATAACACCACTCTTGGTTACAATTGACAAGCCAAGAGCTCAGAAATGGTTCCCAGCCGAGAGTTATAGCTTCCATATAGATCATACCACAACGCGATACCTAAATTATAATTGTTTAGTGCATTTAAGTATGAACTAAAACGCTTATCGTGGCCGGCGATGCCTGTTCCAAGTCCATTACTTCAAAAATCAACGACATGGTGCTCGACAATGTCATAACTTCTCCACTCATCAAACAAAGCTTCTTGTTATCGTCTAAAACACTGTTCATATTTTCAATCCAAACGGCATCCACAGGTCCGTCGAATATAATCCACTTTCTGTCGGGACTGGGATCATTAGCATAATTTCGAAAACAGGTGGCGACGACTCCATCAGACCATTCGTAGGACATGGGATCAAATTGACCGTACAACTGACCCATCGTTATAGCCTTTGGATTCAATATCGTATAACATACTTGTGATTCTCCTTGTCCCTGTTCATTAATAAGCGATAATGTGTCGGCCAAGACCTTCAATGTTGAAAATTTCCCCGCAAATGGCTCCCCCACAATCATAAAACCCCATCTCACGATCATCATTTCGTACGTTTGTATGATTTTTAACAGAAAAGAAGCTTTTGGTTGAAGATTACGTTTGTTGCAGCAATTCATCATAGCGTCTGTCAACATCTTATAATCGGCTTCTGGTAAAACAACCCCTGGGAACAAATCCGAGATAATTCCTTCAAAAAGTGGGATATCATGATTCAGAAATTTCGGTAGGTTGACATCTAAAATGGCCCTCAAAAGCAGAATATCTTCTTGTTCGTCGGGAAATTTTCTCTTGTTGTTACCAGCAGCCGACAAGACCGACTTCACAGCCCTCATGCCGTAATCGTAGTGATTTTGTGAAGACAGCTGTTCCGAACATAAGCGATACGTTGTGACTATCTTCACAGATAAGTTTCTCGCATCGATAAAACCGTACGAATACAACGAGATTTCTCCAATCATGGCATAGTCGGGTACCATCATGGCCACCGTGCGAAACAGCACTTTCAAGTTGTCGGGCAGTTCCGTACGTCCTGCATATCCTGGATTCATGGTGATGCATACATAGCAGGCGGGATTTAATTGAATTTCTGACCCTTCGAAAAGAAATTTGGGTAAGTTAGCACGAACTGCCAATATTATGGATAGAATCTGCTGGGCTACCACAGACAGTACTTCAATGTCGATTCGATTAAATTCGTCGAAACAGGCCCAAGCACCACACGAAGCCAGTCCTTTAAAGAACTTCCCCATGGCCTTGTAATCCAAACCATCGGAGCAGTTAAAGACAACACACTGTACAGCGATTGCTTTTGCTAAATCTTTAGTAGTCTCGGTTTTGCCGGTACCTGCGGGACCTTCGGGGGCTCCATTCAAATGTAGATGGTATGCACCGATTAAAGTTCTGTAACACCTGTCCGTCAGGGGTGTAATTACCAGACGATCCGTGTTTCCTAGGTATTCGTACGCGTATTTGACTGTCGCGTTGACAAGTCGGACGTAACATTCGTTTTCGTCCAAGTAGTACCTTAACTGTGACAACCATTTAAATTCTTTATCGTCCTTCACTTTCTTGTCGGCCAAGTCTTGAACGACGTCTTTTGCGTGTACGTCAATTACGATTAGAGCTTTGATGGTTATTCTTGAAAGATTCGTTAAAGTTGGGTCTCTTATCAGCCCGACTATCTTTTTAAGTTGGTTCTTAAGACTACTAGCAAGTCCACTGATCGTCATGTCTTCGACACGATTCAGTGCTTGGTGAACGCTCGTAGTCCAGTATACTTGTGACACTGCTAACACCACTTGACCCGGCCATTTTTGTACCCATTTCGTTCGTGGCGTGACAGCGTAGTTCTTAAAGCTTTGGATTATTTGTTCCCTGACTGATTTTATCATTTGCTCTTCAACAAGAATGAGCCATTTTTTCGACACTTCCTCCAAATTCTTTGGTTTTGATCATTTGAACGAACTCTATTTCTTCGTCTTCTTGGCTATACATGGCATGGATTTGTAATTGGTCGTCGAAATTGAGACGATTGATGGCTTCAAAACATTTCTTGAGGTGAGGTTGTACTCTTAGAGGATCTTTTGTTTCGGACAAAATCTCCAACATTTCGTCGATCGACAAGAAGAAAAATCGTGGAAAGAAAAGTCGTTTTTTCTCTAGATATGATACCACGCCGTCGTTGATTTTCTCAAGGAGTTCTATACAATGAACCATTGCTTCTAAAACTCCAGCAGCGCCTGCTGTTTCAACAACTCTCGAATCTCTCATAACCAAGTCCATGTACCGCTTGTACGTGTCGTTGACTTCTTTAAAAAGTTGCCCTTCTTCTGGCATTTGTGCTACGATATCTTTTGATGAAAAAATTGTGAGCAAGTAGAGCCACTGTGACTGTACTTTGCCCCATTCTTCTATTGTATTGTTTATTCTCAATAATTTCTCGTAAAAAGCCCTTACTTCAGTTTCATAAGGTCTGACAAAAACGGACCCTCTCATGGTTAAAGTCTTCAGAATATGGTCATCGAGAATGACTTGAACATCATCCAACTGAGTTAGAATATTGATTCCTGTGTCTTTATAAGTACCGGTTTTGAAACGAATATCGACCCACTCTTCTTGCATTTTGTTGAGGTTGACCAAAAGTTCTCTTTCTTTGGTTGCACTAGTACTAATAATCTCATATTTGTCCATATCAGGTTCTAGACCCATACTCATTAACTTTCTCAACGAAGTACCTGCGTTCGGAGTCATATCAAAACCGGCGATCTCAGACATTTCTTTCCAGTGTCTCTTCAGCAAGGCGTCATTACACATAATTTTCATCATTGTTAATGCAGGCCTAAAATCTTTAATGTCTTGGATTGCTCTCGCAGTCAGTTTAAGCGGCGCTGGCCAGTTGACAAGTTCTGGATCATCAAGTATACCATCAAATCGCAAGGCAACATTCTCAGCTAGAGCTTGCTTTATTTTATTCCTGTACATCTTTTGAATTTTCAAAAGCTCCTTCTGAAAGTCTTCTAGCATCAACTCGGTTTCCTCTGCATTAAGAAATTCGAATTGTCCATCAAGCCACACTGCAATTTTTCTTTTCAGATTCAAACAAACTTTCAATAAATGGTAAAAAGGGAACAAGAAGTTCGCCATCTCCTCGTACTTTAAAAAAGTGGTTACGCCGAAACCTAGAACCTCTTCTTCGTGATTACTCCAAATGATCTTCTTCAGAGCATCACGCATGACTTCTAAAAAAGGCGCCATCCTGTGAACGTACTGACGTACGTTGTTTACATCGTCCATGTCATTCAAGATCACGAGATACGGCAGCAGTGTTTGCAAAGCGACAGCAACTTCATCTTTGGTTTTTTGAAGTTTTTCTTCTGCTTCAAATTTGAATTGTTCGTACATGACGGAACTTTGTTCTAAGATGGGTTCGACATTTTTTAGCCAGTTAACCGTGTCTGAGTTTAGATCCATATGTTGTTGAGAGATTTCGCCATATTCGAACAAGTGGGTCAGATTATATAACATCTGCTGGATTCGCTCTGCAAGTTCTATGAGATGAACTGTTTTTCCCCAGATCATGTACTTGCCTTGCTCCATTAATTCTTCGCTAGAGCTTTCTCTCTGATATCTTGGAAACACTGACAAATTGCTTCATCTTCCAAACGGTGTTCCAAACTGAGTTTACCCAAAATTTCGTCGATGAGATGTTGTAAAGACGCTTTGAGATTATCAACGTACTCGGAAAGTATCAGTTGACCCATGGCAAAATATTCGTTGGTTAAATTTGTGTTAGCTTTTTTTATGTAACTTTTGTAGTAGGCTATTTGATTAAAGCCGCTCGTGAAAAGCATTTGTTTATCTTCTACTTCTATGTGGATATCAAATTCTGAGTATAGATCCCCAAATTCTGACTCTACGTACTCGAGGTAACTAAAAATAGGTTCATACATCTTCGAAATATTGAGGGACATTTGTTCAATACAATGTTCGAGGAAATCGTCAACACATTCAGATGAGTCAGCGCCGAGTCCTCTGCTTCTCCTTCTTGTTTCGCCGAATTCAAAACTGGAAATTTTTTACCAGTCGCAACTAGGTCATACAAGAATCGAGAATAAAGATCGATGACGTCACTCATTGTTGGCTTCAAAGTTAGACCTACTTCACCAAAAATGAGAGTTAATTTAAGATATGGTATCAAATCCTCATTGCCCGTTACCCTCACGATGTAGTTCATCGTTTCGATAAGTGCTTGACTCATGTACACGCCAAACAGACCGGTACATGCTTTCAAGTAATCGGTGTTATCGCTTTTGTCTTTCTGCACCAGTACTGTCAGTTTCAAGTAAAGTTCTTTAAAAAGAAGTTTCGATTCCTTTACATAGGTGGCAAACTTTTCAGCCAACGTTACGATGTCTACCGGTTCGCTACTTTTCTCCCCAAAATCGAACAGCTTGTCTGGTAAGAATGTGACACATTCCCTCAAGATTGCTCGAATTAGGGGATGGTGAAGTTTCCATTTCCTTAACATGTATTGACGGTGCTTTAAATAAACGTTGTACCTTTTCGTCTTTCCAAAAAATTTTAAGGGTTCTAGGTGGATGTGTTCGTCGTTTCCCATAGGTCTCGTTTTCACGTTCACGCTCACTCCGTGAACCGTTTCGATAAACTCATCTCTTGCTTCATCCAAAATAGTTTCTACTATCTGGGGGTATTTGTTCTCCAAACCACCTGTATGGACTCTTTCCATTATACATTTCCACTGGAACATGATCTTCATAGTTTTGGGTCCAGACTGGGCATATTTGCGTATATCATAGTGTGAAGTATTTTTTTGCGGAATTTCTGGGTACAACTCTTTTAGTTTTTTTTTCAGTTCTTTCTTCTTGGTGTCTTTCGCCATTTGGCATTTTTTTTCGAGGAGAAATTGTCGTGTAGGGACTGGAACGTTGAAACGGGCGAGCAGGTCTTCCGTAAGTGTGGTTTTTATTAGTTCCTCTATAAGGGGGACATTTTGGGTCTTTGTTTGTAGTTTTTTGCATTTTCGGAACTTATCTTTTGCTTGATCCATAATAAATTGTGAATGAGTCGGGGGTTTGACAATTTGAAAAAAAAAGTCTATGACAATTGCCAAAATGTCATTATAGTGTGCATTGGGAAAAGGTAGCGAAAACAAGAAAAAACAAAGCATACATTTTATAAGCACATGCACATTACCATGTGACTCCAAAGTTCCAAAGTCCGCGAGTGCTGGTAATGGTAATATTTGTATGTATTATGTTATTATTAGAGCTGTGCGGTCGAAATTTATTTATCCCCACTACCCGTCCACAGTGCAGGAGGCTACAGCCTTGCATTACTCTCTTCTAGCTTTCCAATTGTCCATTATTTTTGATAATGTACACAAATAGTTTTATTTTCAACGAGACCGACACTTGAAAATTATTAAAACTATTATTATTACTATTTCGAAATCATCAACTGACGTTCACTTCACATTAGTTTTCTCATAATTTTCTTCGCGATACGTAACATCGGCTACAAGCCACTGGTCGGCCGTAGTGGGAGGCAATACAGAGCATTTAAATTTCAACCGCCTGGCCCTAGTTATTATACTCGTATTAACATCTCTTTTTGCTAACATTATCACCTAAAGAGAAAATATTTTTCTGGTTGGTGATTTTACTTTTAATTGTTGTTAATCCCGTCTGGATGTGCTTTGTTTTGTGTTGTTTAATCGAAAATCGCTTTTCTCTCCACTTTTATTTCAGTTTACATTACCCTTGATCAGACAGCCTACAACATTTTACAATATTTAGAAAAATATATATGAGCTTCATTTGTCATACCTGTTCTAGAACTGTCCCTATTATTATCAGATTACACAGATTGCTGTAAATTAATAAATTAAAAATTAAAACTACTGACCCCATACTGTAGTAATCCATACATCCCACCAAAGCTTGATAAATTTTGTTTTGTCCTGTGATCGTCTAACAAAACTACAGTGTGAGAAATGGCTGGACGTGTAACGGTGGATTTCAAGATAACGTCAGCGATCCAGCTTACCTTCAAATTGAGGAGTGTTCGATTTTGTTTAGTTGTATCGAAAGCGACAGTACAGACATCTGACCATTCGAATTTACGATCCTTTTTCAGCAGCGCAGTAATCGGTGCGACAATAGATGCAAAATTCGGAATATACCGAAAGTACCACGACGCCATACCTACAATTCGACGGACTTCAGAAACCGGTTTCGGCGCAGGAAGCGTCAGAATAGTCTCTATCTTCCCCGGGTCGAAATGAAGGCCTGTTCGTCTCAATACATAGCCTAAATATTTAAGTTTCTCGTGACTAACATGTCAGTCTCGCTCTTGCTAATCTACGAAACACCTCGCGCAGTACATCCAGGTGCTTGTCGAAGTCGGGGGGGTTATGACGATATGTACATACATAAATACGTACGGCTCCGGATCTGCTCCCAGATCTCAATCGATGAGACGTTGCCATGTTGCTGGTAAGGTATGTAGGCCGAATGGTAGCGTTTTAAACTGGAACAAACCTCTTCCTGGGACAGGGAATGCCGTTATAGGACGCGATTTTACTGCCACAGGCATCTACCAATACGCGCTTTTTACATTCAGAGATGACAAATATTTAGTTACTATTCCTTGGCTTATTCGAAGTGTTCGACACGGAAGGAAGGGGGTACAGATTTTGGTAACGTCGGCGATAACGAATAATAACGTTGTTTGATATGGGTTCAGCACTTGTTTTGATTAAGTGCTCTACTAGATGTGAGCATCCGATCTTATTAACCGTAGGCGGGAGTTCATCGAGCATTAGTTGTTTCAAGCGTTCCCTTCGATCAGAAGAAAGGTCTTCCGAGCCGATCAAAGTGACCACTCAGGTGCTTGGCTAAATTTCCACTCACTGTGTGGTAGATCTGGCACGATTCCCATTTTTCTCCAGAAATCAATACCCAATATAAGAAAATGTGTTGATGACGGAATACCTAAACCTCAATAACTCGTACGCGACCAATTAATAGAAATGGAATGGTAATCGTACCAATGACTGCATTTACCTCCATCAGCGACATTATGCCTATCTACAGAAACGAAATTCCGAGTTTCCTGAAAAATTCTAACCCTGAGGTGTTTGTAACTGTTCTATCCGCCCCAGAATCTAACAACCCCTGAACGCGATGTCCAAATACCTCCACTGTTAAATATGACCGTTCGTCACGACTACATATGACAAAGTAAAATTTAAATAACATTCCGGATCAGAGCGCAAAAGAGAAAGATCTACTAAGGCTTTAATACCTTGCGGTCCGCCGCCACGTTTCCCGTTTCTCGTTTATTTGCCGGTAGTACAGGTTCTGACTGCCACATCTGGTGCACACCATGGTAACATTTAATGCTCCGTTTCTGTTTACATTCTGCCTGTTTATATCCTGTTTGTCCCCATTTATAGCATTTAAATTCCGTGATAGTGGCTCATTCCATTTCCGCTACTACAAATGAAAGATCTGGTTCAAACAAACGCGCCTTACGCGATGGGGGTGGCACAAAATTTTCCATCCGGGCTCGTCGTGTTTTCAAGTCGTCAACCATACTTCAGCAATACATCTTTTGAATCAACATTCACTAGAGCAAACTGTTCCTGATGAAAGGGTGAAATATTCCTTAGAATAACTCGCAGTTGTTGTGATTCGGTTATGTTCACCGAGAGCCTTCCAGACAACGACTCCATCACCGATTAGTAAATACCAATAGACTCAATGCTTCCTTATGTTATATATGCTTCATTCAAATTTACTCTTATCTATGTCATGAAGATCTACAAGTGCTTGATTCTTGGACAACTTCTGTGGATCCTCGTTTCCCGCATCACAAAGCTGTAATAACCGTAATCTCTGACACAAAACTGCAGATGCTCAAGGGAAATCTGTACACGTAATATCTCCGTTGAACCTCCCAAGAAAGTCTCTGAGAATCGGAAAAAACGACGCAATATATTTCATGGTGTTCGTAAACGATACTGATGTGACATTAGCAAAAGTTCCCATCTTTTCGAATTTTAAGACGTTCCGCAAAGCCTTCCGCATCTCTTAAACTCTGCTGGTCGGCAATCCTCGATACGTGAGTTCAAACGTTAATTCTTCCGACGATAATCGGTTTATTTCATTCTTCCGCATCCCTGAAGCTGTCATCGAAAAGAAGAAAACAATAATTCACCGTTTACTTAGCTAAATAGTTCCTACGTATCGATCAAAACTGAACACTGCCTAAAAACTCAGATCCTCTGCGAATCTCCTTCTTAGGGATATTCGTTTCTTCACATTTTTACCTATTCTTACCAGAAGTCAGGGACGCGGAAATTTGATTCGAACGGGGTAACACAGTAACTACTAGCATCCAGTTCGGCTATAGGTTGGTAGAACTCGATAGAAATATAATAAAAAAGGATCAATATAGTAACGCCTACGGCGTTCTTGCAGATAAAACTAAAACTCTGATAAAAAAAGTATGAAATTTAGCATTCGTCAAAATAAAGAAAACCAATTTTCACATTTTTTTTAGTATATGCTAGAGAAGTAACGACAAATATAATTCCATCATTAGTTATTCTTTATATTTGTTTCGATTTTACATTACACATTTTGTGTTCATATTAACTTCTGGAATGTTCCTCTATCTAGATGCAAGGAACTTTTCTTGGAAATTTCAGAATGCAGCTCCGCTAGTTTCTTTTCAAGTTCTTGTTTATTTTCGAGCTCTTTTTTCTTCTGCTTTAAAACATTGCGCTCGTATTTCCAATGATATCGTCGTTTCTTGGCTTGAAGGTTGAAAGCATACAGTAACTCGTCGCATGGTGTAGTTGTTATTATTTCTTCCAGTACTGCTGTATTTTGGGCGTTACGCGTCATTTTGTATCTTCTAAAACCGCTTGCTGTTAGTCGATTCATGCTAAACTTTTAAATAAATTAGTTGTTGACAACGTCAAAAATTGGAAAATTTATATCTGACGTCTATCGATGCCATTCGATTTTTTGTAGGTATATCGCGGCGTCTTCGTTGATTCACTATAATAATAATAATAGTGAATCAACGAAGACGACGGGATATTGATATGAGGTAATGCAAATGTACGAAATTTTGACTGCATAAGAATTGTTTCAAATAATATGCACATTATCATTATCGTGACGATTGAAATCGATGTTTTTACAAGTTTAGAGCAGATTAGAGTATATGTCTTCTTATAAGACTGCTGTATGTGTATAAGATTTAACCAGAATTTGTGTTTTTTTAGAATCAAAAGAACATTCATCTGTGAAACAAATGTTCCGGGATCTCAACCAGGTGAAATACAAGAGTTTTAACAAGCATCATGCCCAAAAATTGAAACATGAGGATTACGTTTCAAGCACGGCGTTTTGTGAAGGGAGGTTTTTGCAGACGATTGCAATAATTAATATTTGAAACCGAAATGAACATTTTGGGATCATCCGCAAATAAAAGCTTCTCTCAATCTATTACGTCCACAATATCATTTATGAAGATCAAGAACAACATCGGGCCAAGATTAAATCCTTTCTAGAAGTAGAAAGTAAAAATTATATGTAAAACACAACTTCCGTCGCCCATAAAATACAGTACATCGAATGCAGGGGATGCGGGCAGGCCGACAGGCAAACAGACAGACAGACAGAAACGGGGGACCTATTTCTTCGTACTCTAGGTATCATAAAAGGTCGAGAAAACGTAAAATTAGAGGGTTGACCGACGGACTCGATTACAATACTTCCTTTGCTTACGCTCGAGAATTAAAAATTTACATTGCTATTATTATTATTACTGTCAAATCATCCAACGCGCACTAAACCCTATTACCGGATGATTATAATTACAGAATCAAACCAAATTAAATGGAACTCTCTGCATATGCTGTTATTTTATTATAAAAGTTGATTTTAATTCTTGTTTTTATAAGAACGTGAAGTAATCGATGAAAGACATTTTAACAGCTTTGAAATTGTCACTAAATATATCAGAATTCTT